GGGAGGTCAGGAAATACTCTGGGGATACAGGTCCCCAAGAAGAATTTCAGGTGTCCCTGGCCACTGCCGTTTGCTCCTTTTAGAAGAATACAATTGTTCTTCTCTCTGCCTCTGTGTGCTTAGGACAGGTGCTCCACATTGTACCACCTTGGGCAGATGTGTGCTCATCTTTGGGTCTTTTTCTCTTGAACAGTCTCAAGAGACCAGATTGGTTGCTGAAAAGTCTCTGGTCTCAGAGTCAAAATAAATACCATTATTGAGTACATCCCTTCATGGTTTGCAAAAAACACCTCCCCATTCACCGACCACCTTCTTTGTAGCAATGGAACTACTTCTGCAGCTTTTCCCAGGCCTCTCAAACCCTCTGAGCACTAATCCCCTTAGCCAGAGTGAAGGAGGTAGAGGTTAATAATAGCAGCTACTCACTGAGCACCTGCTGCGAGCCAGGCCCAGGGCTGGGTCCCTTACACACACCAGTGCATTTCACTTAATCCTCCTCATTCTGCAGATGGGATGGTCCTGGTGACAAAAAGAGGAAACAGGATTTGAGATGGGAAGTAACCTCCAAGGGCCGTAGAGTTAAGTGGGAGAACTGCAGTCTGCTTGCGGGTCTGCCTTTACCAGTAGCCACTGTGGGGGTGAATCCTTTGTTTCAGATTCCTAATCGTGGCTCCCAGGTTTTGCACAGTCTGGGGGATCTCTGACCCTTCAAAAGGCGGCGGGGGGAGGACAGTGACTATCAGTGGCCCTTCCTGGGGATCTCCTGCTGGGATCACTCTGGTGGCTTCAGTAGTTGGAGCCCAGGGTACTTGCCATCCCCACTCCTCCCCAGTTTGGCTTGCCCAATTGTCCTTCGAGTCCCATCTCCTGAAAGAAGGGTTAAAGTGTGTCCCTGACACTGTCTTCCCTGGGGAGGAGCCAGGTGGGGGGAGGTTCTCCTCCCTGTTTTCCTCCCACCCGTTCACAGTTAGCCAAGTCCTGACCCTGAACTTCTCCCTGGTGCCCCAGCCAAGTTGCTGTTCTTTTGCTTAAGCAATATCACTTTCACCTTTGTTTACTCCCTGGCGAGGGGCAAGAGTTCCCGGGAACCTGGCCTGGCAGTGTGGGCGGTGGGGTTGGGGTGAAGTGGTGAAGTGTTGATGGCACTGAGAAGTTAGGTTGTGGCTAAGGCATGGTCTTGAAAAAGATCTAGGTTGAATCCCAGCTGTCGCTTTCTAGCTGTGTGACCTGGGATGAATGACTCAGGGAACCTCAGTTTCCTGCCAAGGCTGTTGTACCAATAAAGTGAGCTCATATATCGAAGCCTCACTTGGTGCCTGACGGTTAGTGGGTACCATGCTAGTCACCCCAGCCCGTGTTTGTCCTGCTGACTGAAGCTGCAGGACTGTGGCAGGGTTGGTCATCTTTCCTGAATGTAATGCCTCTCTCTGGTCTAAGGACTGGTTGGAGAATGTATCTGGCATGATAGCTGTAGCCTGTAGATTCACTGAGACCTGGGAAGTGGGGAGGGTGGACAAACCCAGCCCAAGAGCCAGGAGACCAAGGTTCTCAGCCCAGCTGTGTTCCAGCTGCTTGAGTGAACTTGGCAAAGTCCCTTGTCTTTCAATCTGTTTGCTGAGTTGTGAGATGGTTGGGCTGTCTGTCCTCAGAAACCTGTTGGCAGGTGTGAGTCCCTTTAGAACAAAACAGCACCCACCCTTTCTTCTTTTCTCTGGGTAGTTGGGGCAAGTGTCTAGCAGCTCTAAACCCCCAGGCATCAGGGCAGGCAGGGTTTGGGGGACCCAGGCCCACTGCCTTATTCACCTGGTGGTTTCTCTTGTGAGTCTGTGAGGACAACAATACAGGGAGACCAGAGGGCCCAGGGGGTGCCTGCGCGTGCAGATGGGTGGACAGATGTTTCCCGGGGCAAGGGTGGGATGAGCCCAGCACAGACCACGTTGTTAGCCAGGAGTAGGGTCAGGTCTTTCTCTGGTCAGGGCTGGGCCTGGCTCCTGGATGGCCTACTTGGTTCTTCCAAGTCACCCCAGAATGAATGGGCCTTGTCTGAAAAGAGGGCTGGGCAAGGATGGCTGGAGGTGCAACCTTCCACCTCCCTACCCCTGCACACAAATGGGGGTGATTGCCCACAATCCCACGAGCTTGGTCCTGTCTTGCTGGCTACCCCCTTGGGAATTTCCCTCTTGTCAGGGTCATGGGCACAGAAGGGGCCAGGGACAATCAGAGGGGATGCCTTGGGGTTGAAGAAAGGTTTAGTTTCCTGTGTTCTCCCATCTGCACACCTCACAGAGCTTCTTCCAAGTCCCTTGCCTTGCTGTGGGAGAGCACCTAGGCTTACCTAGGGTGGTCCTTAGGGACCCCAACCTTTTCGAGCACTGGAATGGGTGTCTGATGGGCTCTGATCCTGGCCGTGCCACTGACACCCTTGGTTATCCTCTTCAGGAACCTGGAATAAAAATTGAAGGGTTGGGGATTACCAGGCGACCACTAAGAGGGCTAAACTGGGAATAAATCTGGGTTTCAGCCCAGGTTTGGTACTTGCTGACTTGACTCCAGGATCACCAGACTGGCCTCCTCTCTTGGTCTTCCCATTTCACTAATGCCAGCGTTATCCGTGCCAATCAGCATGCTCTTCCTGTGGGATGTTTTGAAACACCCCTGAGCACTTTCACATACTAAAAGGCAGGATGTGTAAACAACCTCCCATGGCTCCCGGGGACAAAGGGAGCTGGGGAGGGTCTCAGCCTGAAACAGCCCATTTGGAGGACTTTGGACTCTGACTCCCCACAGCCTTCTGGTCTCCAGGCCAGGTCAACAAGTGGCCATGTACCTTCTTGCTCTCCCGGTCTGGGTTTGACCTTCACTTAACAGGGCCCCCTTCTAGCGTGGGTAAGTGGTCACTCTGTGTACACATGTGTTCATGCATGTGTTTTTATGTATGTGGATAAAAACTCTGGTAACCCAATCCTGGGTTCTGGTCAATGTGGCCACTTTCTGCTTCAGTGACCTTAGGCAAAGAACTTTACTTTTCTGAGTCCTTGTTTCTACTTTTGCAAAAAAGATCTATTTGGAGGACCTGCTTCATGCTAAGTGCTTAGTTCGGTAAGTCAGGGAGATCCTACTGTCTCAGATTTGGGGCCCCAGGGGGATTTGCAGCAGAAGATGGGGGTAGGGATACAGGGACCTCACCCTGGGGACAGGCAGCTTGCACAAACATGGAGGAACCTTCCTCCTGAGCTGCCAAACCAAAGCCACAGGCACGGGGCTGTGCGGGGGCTGGGGCTGGAATTCCAGCGCCAGCAACTCAACAGCTCCTGATTCCAGAGTCATGAAGTCATCCCTAACCAGGGCTTAACCCCTTCTGGCTCCCCACCTCCCTGGGTGCCAGGGGCTCAGCCGCAGTGCTCCCATCCGGCAGACAGGAAGGGGCTGCCTGCCCACCGCCCTCCTCATGGCCTGACTCCGCTCCCTTCCGGGAATCCGGCAATCCGGCAATCTGGCAGGTGGAGGGGGTGGAAGAGGGCACGACAGTCTGGTTTTGCCTGCCTTTCCCCAGAAACCTGTGGAGGGAGTCCAGGAGGAGGCTGGGCCTCTCCCTTGAGGGTAACCTTGTCTTAGGAATGGATATTCCTCTCAGGCTCCCTCCCATCCTGTCACCAACAGTCTCAGTTGGGTTAAGGACAGCCTGGGGCAGTCAGAAACTGACACCGGATCTCTTGCCAGGCTGTTATGTGGCTAAGTCACTGCATGATCTTGGGCAAGTCACTGCTCTGTTTAGGGCTCAAATTCTCTCAATTTATGTGAAATGAAAGGACAGGCTTCTCCAGCTGGAATTCTGTGGTTCTGAGCAGAGCACCCCCACACCCACAGCAGTCAGGGGCTCTGGGAAAGAAGATGGGACAGACTATCTTGGAGAGGGGTATGTATTAAATTTCATAGAAACCCCAACTCTTCTGGCACATAGTAGGCCCTTTAATGTTTGGCTAAATTTGGGAAAGAATGAGTTTGCCCAGGGCTGCTGTCCTGGGGGCAGACAGAATCCAGGAGGAAGGGTGGTACGCATTCTGAATGATTCCTACTCTCTCCAGGGGCTGGGCGCAGAGTAGCTGCTGTACCATAGGACCTCGGGAAAGTTCTCTGCCTCCCTGGACCTTTGATACTGCTCAGTTGGGGTGGGCCTACTAAGATTCTGCTGTCACCGGCCAGGTCCCCACAGGATAGGGGCTGAGTGACACTTGTGGATGCAGAGTGGAGGGTCTGTGAGGGCAGGAACTGTGCCTCTGTGCCCGCTGCAGTGCTGTGACAGTGCTGGTGGCGGACTGGTTCCACGGGAGATGTTTGGAAGGCTGAATGAGAGAACGTGCTTTGTGCACTCTTGAGTCACCAGGTCTGGGCAGTGCCCTGACCTGAGGCTGTCCTGGGATGTGGGTGAGCCAGCCCTGCCTGTCCCAGCCCGTCTGACTCAGCTGGGAAAGGTGTCCACAACTAGGCAAGACCAGAGCCAGCAGCCCTCTCCCTACCGTGGCTGAATCAGCTGTGACTGCATCATAGAAGCCTGGAGGATCCCACCGGGGGCCGGCCTGTGTGGATGGGGCCTCTGCCTCTGAAGTCAGGCAGCCCTATGCTGATCCTCACTCTCTCAGCTGCTCTCTGTGTCAGAAGGAAGTACCCGGTTTCCTTGGTTGTAAAATGGGGCTAAAGACATGCCTTTAAAGTTGTTAAGAACAGGGCCTGGCACATAGCAGGTACTTAGTAAAGGTATCTACTGATATTTATATTCTGATTATTATACTTCATGGTTTTATTAGCCCAGGATGGAAAATAGACTTAGGCCTAAGATCACACAGCAAGTCAGGAGCCAGGAGGGGTTCAGAACCCAGGTTGCCAGGCTCTGGCTTGACCCCCTTCCAGTACCCCAGGTCACCTTCCGGAATGCCCACCTCACTGCCTTTCTAGGCTGTTGTAGGGGCTATTGGCTGATGCATCTCCTTTTTTCACCCTAGATCCGAGAGACCGAAGTCATTGACCCCCAAGACCTCCTAGAAGGCCGATACTTTTCTGGCGCCCTACCAGATGATGAAGATGTTGGGGGTCCTGGACAGGAACCTGAGGACTTTGAGCTGTCTGGCTCTGGAGATCTGGGTATGAAGGGTGTGATGTGGCAGCCCTGGGGCGTGCGGCTGGAGGGAAGGTGGCCTCACCAACTAGGGGAAGTGACCACACTTTGAGATGTGGATTTTTGTGGGGACTTTTCTGCATTTCCCTCCACCCTCAGTAAAGGGGAAACAAAGGTAACTGGATTGACCAGTTACCTAGAGACCTTCCCTGGGAGAGTTTGTTGATTTGAGTTCATTTGTAGCTCTAGGTGTTCCAAGCACCAGCCTGGACCTGTCCACCTATGGCCAAGGGCATGGCGGGGGTGGGGCTGAGGTGGAGAATAGTGTTTTTCTTCCTTTGAAAAGCGAAAGGACCAGCTCAGAAGCCTGGGGGCGTGTGTGGGCAGAGATATGGGTGGGGAACTGAGAACAAGCCCCTGCTTCAGAGGGGGAGGGGAGTAGATGAAGGCACCCAGGCCTCTTGGCCTGGCCAGGGGCTGGAACCCCTCATGGTCTTCTGCGACTTCCGGGGCCCTGGCTGCTGGGCCAGACAGAAATACTGAGAAGTGTCCCTCCTGTGTGCCGGGTGGTGTAACGATCTGAAAATTGAGCTATTGCCCTGAGTTCAGACTGCCATTCTGTGACCTCGGAGGCTTGGTTTCCTAATCTGTAAAATGGGAATGGGAATGACAGTACATCAGGGTGTGGGATCGGGCTGAATTAAAGCTCTGGGCACATACTAAGTAAATATTTTAACGTTGCAATTTCTAGTATTTAATATTATAATCTACAGCCTTCTCAAATGAATCTCCTGGAGGTCTCATTAAAGATGATTCTGGTTGAATGCACCCTGACATTCTGCATGTCTAACCAGCTCCCAGTCCCTGGCTCCACACTTTATTGATCAAGGGTTTGGTGCTGACAGAGCATCTGCCCAGATCCTGGCTCAGCACTCCTGTGAAAGAGCCGGGGAGGCGGGTCTTAGGAGCTCCATTGTACAGACGAGGTGACTGAGGCTGGGTGTGAGTGGTTGCTTGCTGGACTCAGCGTTAGGGGGCCAGTTGTAAGTTAGGGCTCCCACCAGCCGTGGCTGAAGAGGGGATCATCTATCTAGGGGTAACTGACCTCACGCTCACACAGCCTTTCTGACCTTACAGATGATTCAGAGGACCCCGAGATCTCTCCTAAAGTAATCCAGCCCTTGGTAAGTATCTACACGCCTTTCCCTCTCCCCACTTGCTGCTCTGTAGCACTTGCTGAGAGGGGCAGTCTGAGGGGGGGTCTGACCTCACCCTGCAGGAAGGTATTTATTTGCGACCTGGGGCTCCTAACTGGGCAGCGCAGGCCCTCTTCCCTGTAGTGATAATCACTGGCAACACCTAGTGTGTTGCCAGCACCTTTTCTGTGCATCTCTAGGTATTTCCCAACACTCATATCAAATTATGTGTATATAGTTCTATGTACTGCAGTTTTCACTTACAGTAGTCATGAGTATTTCTCCAGGTAATTAAATGTTCCTCCTATTTATTCATTTTTATAACTAATCGTAGCTCACTTGGTTCCCCTTAGTGATGCAGAAGTTCTTTATAACTTTCTGATACTCCAGAATTACAACACTACAGCAAGCATCTTTTACACAAATCTGAGCTCCTTAGGATGGAATCCCATAGGCAAAATTGTTGTCTCAAAGGGCAGGTTGTTTTTGCAGTTGCCAAACTGCCCTTCGGAGTGGTTCTTTAGAATAACCCACTGACCAACATCGGCTTCCCTGTGCCCGTGGTTACACTATTCGTTCCCCATTTGGGACAGATCTACTAGAAAAATTGAGGGTAAGGATTTGACAGCATAATTGTTGAGAGGCTGTTGCTGATTTCTGCCCGATGACATGGTTCAGCCAGTGAGATGCCAGAACCAGTCTCCCCATCTGTCTGACTGTCCCTGTCCTCTGCCCTGGGTCTCTTCCCAAACCGTGCTGAGTGTTGTCTCTTCTCCTTCCCCCCCAGGTGCCTCTAAATAACCACATCCCTGAGAGGGAAGGGCCTGGCAGCCAGGTCCCCACCAAACCCCAGGACCTGGAAGAGAATGAGGTCATTCCCAAGAGGATCTCACCATTTGAAGGGGGTGACAATGTGCCCAACAAGGTGTCCATGTCCAGCACTGCCCAGGGCAGCAGCATCTTTGAGAGGACAGAGGTCCTGGCAGGTAAGGTCCAGTGCTCCTCACCAGGCACCTCAAAGGGGAGAGGGCTCAGTGGGCGACAGTGCTGAGGCACACGTGCCTTTAACTCCTTGGTACCCTTTCTTTAAGGCCACAGGGTGTCCCGGGGCCTTGAAGGACTGCCCCTCCCTGAGGGGTGGCTCTGGGTGTGCAGCCTGGTGGAAGGGGAAGAATTGCCTCTCAAAGGCTTCTAAAGAATAGAGTGAGTCATTCAGTGGCCTTAAGACCTTCTCTATTTTCAAAGCACTTTCACAGCCTGGGTTTGGCACCTGGGGAGTTAATTATTAAAAGTTAACTTTCCTTGAAAAACATCCCTTAAAAGCCCAGAGGCACCTTTGAATTGGACTGGCTAACCCCCTCCCAGCTGCTCTATCACTTAACAGCCTTGTGACCTTGGCTGAGAAGCTTGCCAACCTCAGTTGATGAGATGAGCCTCAGTTTCCTTCTGTGGAAATGGGTGCAGCGATACCTCCCTGGGTTGGTAATGACTCCATGAAAAAACAGAATCTGAAACAACCCGGCAAACTATAAAGGGCTTCCCTGATTTGTTAGTATGATCTGATTGACTCTTCATTGGTCCTTCATAGTGCATGGCATACTGGGAACCTTCCTGTGACAGGTTAAGAAACTGAGGCCAGGAGAGGTTCGGTGTTTGGCCTCAGGAGAGAGCCACAGGGTTCTTGACTCTCCTGTGCTGTGGGGAAAGCTCTGTCCCAGGGTGAGGCTTCAGGAGGGGCTCTTTCACACCTGGCTATTGAGCCTTCATCTGGAAAGGTGACGGGCTCCTTCTCTCCTTCCTGGGCAGCTTTGAGGGTCATCCCACGGAACTCCCTTTCTGGCCCATTTTTACAGGCTGAGGGCCAGTCTGAATAAACCAGCCTTTAGAGTGGGTGCCCTAGGCTGTCTGGGTTACTCCTGTCTCCTGGTAGCCCTCTGGGCCCTTGAGGTACAGGAAAAGAGCCCCCCATGCCCTGCCTCAGGTTAAGGATTTTCCCTCCCTGTTGCAGATGAGGCTCCCTGGGAGTATAAACCCAGGTGACTGGGCCCAGCTCAGCCCTCACCCCGGCCTGTACTTGGGCCATTCTTCTTTTTTTTTTTTCAACTTCACTACTTTCTGTGTGATGTAGATGGTGTGGGTACTGCTGGATCCTGAGAGATCTTTTAGTCTTGTAAGATTCACACTGTTTAGAGATATTTTAGAAGCAAGGCCTCCCCGTCTTCAACCACAGAGTTTCACTTTTAGCTGGCATATGTAGGCATATTAGCATACGGTTTTGCTCTTAGCAACTAAGGGTTCTACTGCTTTTAAAGAAACATTTTAAAACCACTGATTTAGTCCTAGCAACTGTTTCTTATATATGGGGAGACTGAGGCACAAAAGAAGCCAACTACTTGTTTTGGGTCACATAATAAGAGACAGAACCAAAGCCAGGTCATCTCTTAAATCTTCCATCTGAGAATTGTACAAGTATAAGATCTTCATGTGAAACGTTAGTTGTTGAGCCAGCTGAGGCAAGACCTTCCATTCCAGTAGCTTCTAAACGGCACCTGGGAGCGTCTCAAGCACTTGGTATGCTATGTGATTCGTGTGAGTCCCCACAGCAACCCTATCAGACAGGTCTGGTCATCTGTATTCTTACAGATAAGGAAACTGGGGCCCAGGGAGGCCAAATCATTTGTCCAAAGTCACAAGACCAGGCAGTGGTAAGACCTAGCATTTAAACCTCATAAATCACTTCTGACCTTGTGGGAAGTCCCAGCACAAGCCATGGGCCTGATTGAGGAGCTGGGGTCCTCAGAGGGCAAGGGAACAGGAGCAGGAATAGGGGTGATTCCTATTATTCCATGTGCTTTTCCTGGTATTTCCTGGGGACACTTTGTTGCTGCATTAAGTGTAGAGTTTTAGCCAAGAAAGGACCTTCTTGATTCCTCTCTGCCCCACTGTCCCCATTCTGTGCATAGGTTTGGAATATGCGCAGGGACAGAAAATAAATC